GACAGTGTTGGACGAGAGAGGACCAGGCCTGGACTTTATTTTGTGCTTTATGTGTGGCAGTCGTCCGCGAGGGGCTGCCGCTTTACTTTAAATGTTCGCCGGTTCCCGGCTCCTTCTTCCCGTGAACTACGAACTTTGTTACAATGTTAAACATTGGTAAGTAACGTTATGTATTTGTAATATGTCTGTGCATTACTGTGACAAAATTGATCTGATTGACCCCTCTGGGGTCTGGGGCCCTGGAGAAGCTTTGTCATGCCCTGACATTTGTGGGGGTTTTCAGTATCTTAAAAACATATTAATGTCTAAAGTCTGATAACACTGTATTTAGCACAAACTGGGGGCAGCATGAAAGTACATGTTTGTGTTTTTAAGAAAACAATGTTTATGAGTGGTTAGTGAAAACAGAGACTTTTGAGAACTGGATGTGGTAGACTAGAGTTTTTGCTACAAAATGATGTGAGAATTATCATGTTCACTCGTTCACAGAAAACAGTATATTGATTTAACATTTGTAAAACATGTTTTGAGATACAATGCCCTTATGCGAGGGAGTGACAATGTTCATGAATATTTATGAATATTTAGTGATTCACACCTGAGAGACAAAGGGCCCTCCCATAATGGCCATCAATATGAATGTGACTGAGGCAGGTAAGAAGGAGTGTGAGGAGAGACAAATAATAATCAAAAACCCACATTATTTTAATTTTATTTACAACATAGTATAATAAAAAAATATACACAGGGAAGGTCATTGACACATGACTGACTGATGTGGAATTACAAAATAAGAGCCCCCACAACTTCCATATATTTATGAAGATGTTCATTTGCTGGGGATACTAAAGATACATTTGAATAGATTTGCATTCACCACAGGGGTACACCATTTTGGGAACCCAATAGGCATGCATACACTGAAGTATTTAAAAGATGTCAGTATGTCATATTGCTATTTTTCCCATATCACAAGTAATTACTGACCAGGAGGCCTAAAGGTTAAATTAATCAAATCACAATTGATGGAAATTGATGTATGACTTTAAAGTAATACAATTGTTTACATTCTGGAATCTAAGAGTAAAAGAAGACTATACTAATTAAGTAATAATAGTTATACATTTGGAATAGACTAGTAATTTGATTTCAGATTTTAGGCACTTTGTTCCTAATTAATAAATATTAAAATTATACATCACACCCAGTGAGTACCTGCAAATGAGGAGTACGTACCATGGAAAAACGGAGTGGGTGGATATACAGTGGAAAGGAGGAGTTATGACACATCCAGTCCAACAGGATGGCAGTAGCTGTGGGGTCATTGTCGTCTTGGTATGTGAAGTGTACTGTAATACCTTCTGTTGTCTTCTCTGTTCTCTGTTCTCTTCTTTATATTAAGTAAATGTTTCTGTTCCAATGTTTTATAGGACTTGACTGTACAAAATGACAAAATAAAAAATATTTGGGGATTTCCAGTTAGGAAAGCTGCCATATGCTGGAGTCTGACACAGTACATGATGGTCTTATATCATTTATATTTTAGATGGCAAGGGGAATAATGAAGGCATTTCCAGCTGTTCCCATTTTACATTTAGGAACTTCCAGAAAGGAAATGGCCAATGAACGGAAAATGATGGCTCTGCAGATACTCAAAGCATCAGCTTTGTAAAGCAACTTCTTGTCTGCAGTGTGCTGGAATATTTAATAAAATGCAGCTTTTCAGATCTGACTCAAGTCAAAATTCAAATACATAAAGCAGAAGTCAAGTATAAAGTAAAACAGTATTAGAAAAAATATTTGGTAA